TGGGCCCACTTTCTTCATCTTTAATCCCTAATCCCGAGACCTGAACGAGCCACAGACCGACGACGACGACGATGCCACTTCCACCGCCACCGCCACCCCTACCCGCCCTCGGTCTAAAGCAGTACGTTCCCAATAGTTGCCCACGTTCTCACTTTCACCTCTTTCAAGGTTTGCCCCTCCACCGCTGCTGCAACTTACTCTCCCTTGCGTGCTCCTTTGATCGCGCGCAACCTCTATCTTCTAGGTGCGGTCATTTGAATAGCCGCTCCTGCATGGCACTCACTCCGTCTCCAGAGGAGGAACCCCTTCTTAGTCGGGACCGCGCCCCCAGTGTCATCTCGGACTCGTTCCTCGCGTCACTTGGGCCCTTTGAAGAAGGTTTCACGGTTTTCACGGAGGAGGAGGCGTATGGTGTGCGTCCCTTCTTGCGGCTATGTTATGTGCACGTGACTCAGACGTTTTCAGCTGGCCAGCAAGTCCGCCGCAGCTCCCGGTACGACTTCTTCCTGTCCTTCCGTCCGATGCACGCACTCACTCTTGGGCAGGTCTGGCGCCGGCAGCGACAATTTCGGAGAATGTTCCGGCACCGTCGCCACCCCCTCCCACCAAAAAGCGCCGAATCTCGCCCAACGAGTCCCAGTCTCCCTACGGGCGCGCATCCTCGATCTCCTATCAGGGCACGCCGCCGCGTCTGAGATGGTGATTTCTCTTCACCTTTGGCCTTCATTCTCTCCATCAATCCTCCCCTGCACCATGGCGACCTCTCCGATACGACCTGTTCTCCCTTTTTATTACTATACCACCACCACGGAATGATACCACCACATAGACATACGCATTTGTACGACCCGTCCCATTTCTCGATACACAGCATTGTAGATTACGTTTAGATCATGTACCCAACCAAACAGAATGTAGCGCGTTTCTCTCTTTCTTTCCCTTCCGATAAGCGCCTTGCTTTTGACTTTCATCTTCAAATCGTTCTTCAAGAGGCCTTTTCTCGTCTTGGACGTTGCTTGGGCGTCGTTTCGAATTCAATCCTAGCCGATCTAACTGGTACCCCAACTTCAAGCCCACTTCTGAAATCTGAAATCCGCCGCCTGCAAAAACCGTGCTGGTTGCCCTCCACATCTTTCTCAGACGATTTTGCCACTGAAGACGGGGTGCACAGGTGGAAGAAGTCAAGGTAGGAGATTCTAGACTTGACCTCGTCACGACGGCGACGCTTAACTAGCCCTGACTTTAGCACGATAACTAGGCACAAACCTGGCCGGTAAGCTACCACCACGGAATTCACCTCCTCGAACTCGGAAGCATGGTAAACCCAGGTCGACCCAATCGTCAAATCAACGAACTAACCTCGTCAGCGGCGCTGTCGTTGAAGAACATTTCGGTGGTGCCGGTCACGTCGTCCATGGACGCCCCATTTTCCGCGACGGGGAAATTCTGCTGGGAGACGAGTGGACGCCGTAGGCGAGGCTTTGGCCTGTGGGTCAGTTTAACGGTTAACCAACATCGATCCAACGACACGCCATCCCAGCTCTGGACGTCATCCATTCCGTCGCTTCCTCCTCCCCTCTACCAGTCAACGTGGATCTCTTCGTACCTCTGGATATCAAATTCTACCAAGCACACTCTTCGCTTTCTCTTTGTCTTTCCAGTAGACTTTGACGGGGAGTGGTATCTTTCCACGGTTTGTTTCATCGAAGCGATTGGTTATGGTGTCGTTCAGTGTGTCATTCCCTTTCTTCCCTCTTTCTAGTTATCAGTAGGATACTCTAGCTTGTAGAGCGCAGTCTAGTTGGACATTGAACATATGAACTCCGTAACACATGCTAAACTAAGCAACAGGATCCTTCGGTTTTGGACCCGGCAGTTTTGGATCCGGCACCGTTGGGTGACTCGGAATAAATTCCGTCCCGTTAGTATCCGCTTCGTACGCCGAGAGAATCAACTTGTAGATCCGCGTCAACTCGTCCTGAATTCCGATTAGTGTTCACCACGGGTTTGGCGACCCGGTCCGGGTCGTGGGTACGGGCCGCCCGGGTACGGGTTCGGGTTGAGATTCAACAACCCGGTCCAACCCGGTGACCCGTTTTCAACCCGTGGGCCGGAAAAATGGTTCTATAGGCTGTTGGGTCCCCTGCTTCAAGGGTCTAGAATGCAGCGGCACAATTCTTCTAATTATCCAGAGCACGCCCCAAGCACGCCCAGAGCCAATTGTCAGCACCATCAGCGGCAATCACTGCGGCGGGATCCTCGTCACAAGCTCGGTTACTTACCTGAGGTTACCTTTGAGTCGAAGGCAATGATTGGGACAAGCTCGACATTGACATTGGTCAAGGACGAGTTGCGGGACGTCTTCGAGATGTACAAGGCCGCGTACGACGACTGATGGTCGTGATGAGTCAACGGGTCCACGGGTCACCCGAGACCCGCCGTCACCCGCGGGTGAAATGGCGGGTAACCCGTACCCGGGGCGCAGGTCGGGGCGATTCGCGGGTACGGGTCCGGGTCGTCGTTGGACTACCCGCGGGTGACCCGTGGTGATCACTAATTCCGATTCTCGTCAGCATTCAAGAAAGTACATAACAGTTGAAACGAAAGACCCACATTACTCACAACGCCCCCATAGCAAGCCTGCACGATATCACTTATCGTATCCTTGTCGAGCTTAGACGTGTCGACAGAGCTGATGACATAGGCCGTGCTGATTACATTGCTGGTAACAGCCGCGAGCGCCGTCGAGGTAAATGTGTAGCAGACTATGTCGATGTCGATACGCATGATGCCGCCAAGCTCACCGCAGGTTATAGCGTAGGCGCGGTGTTCGGATTGGTTGGCTGCCACGGCGCCCAGGACGGTTTCCATGCCAGCGTTGACGATGGCAAAGACCCCTGCATGGACAAGTTCAATTACGGGATTCAATTCAAGTGAACTGCACGCACCATCGAGGATATCACCCTTGGCGAACGCAGTTACCGTACTACTGCTCACGGCGTTCTTCACATTCTCCCCCGTCTGCGTCACCTTGGCGTGGACGACATGATCGCTGGACAGAATCTTGTTGATTGGGAATGGGGTGTTGTCCGCCGTGCTCTTCACCTGCCCGATAAAGTTGTCGTACTTGAGCTCCGCCACGGTGAGGAGCGCGGTGAGCTGGTCTTGCGCCTGGGCTTTGAAGCCGTCGCCCTGCTCCTTGACGAGCGAACTGATGCTTGAGCCCATGGTTCCGAGGTAGGTCAGTGTTTGAACAAGAAAGAGTCGTATTTCTTTTTATACTCTGGGCCACGACCAAAACGCGGAGAAATAAGAACGCCGTGTCAGGTTCAGGCCAGGCCAGGGCAGAGTCAATGCCATGGTGCTACTTCATAATGAATGGCGCTCTCGGGAGCCTTATTTGGCCGGTGGCATATCGACATTTCTGATAGCAGCCACGTACCTATAGCGAGAAGATTAATGGGAGATTCATTGATCAATATTATAAGACGTGCAGAATGCTTCAACATTCCGTGTACCAGAAAGAAAGAATGGAGGCAAATATGTCATTGAAGCCCAGTCGGGAGCCGCGGTGGGGCACAAGTGACAAAGAACGTCGGTGTCATTCGCATCAAGCACATCCCCAAAAAGCTGAAAGAGGCCTGTCTTGACCTCCCGTTGGTCCTAAGGAATCTCGATATCGTAGCGGATTTGGCCCAATACGGCGTTCAGCAAGTGAGTACGTTTTTGGAGAACTTCAGAAAGTGACAGGAACGGGAGGTGCGCCAGGGGAAGTCCAGAGGGTTCCCGTTACAATCGCCTGCGACGTGCGTGGGGCCGTGGGCCACGTAAAACCGCCTTTCGCAAGTCAGCAGAAGCTTTGAGAAAGATGGCGAGAGACGCACCGGAGTACTCCAAACCGTTTCTAATTCGCACTAGGCATGACTGCGCCGTTGTCCCCTTCTCGTCGGTCTTGATTGGCCGAGGAAGGCGTACTTACTCCATCGGGGACGTGTTCGAGAATCTGTTACTTGAAGGTCTCTCGATTCATCAAGCGGGCGTCATCGCAGCGAGCAGTGGGTACCGCACGCGATGGTGGTGAAAAGACAAGAGTGATTGATACGTAATTGCCGAGTCGGCTGGCATCCAATCAACAATCGCAAGCCCAAAATGGGAATACCGCCGTATGCGAGCTTTCTGAGTCCTGACCGTGCAAAATCGGATCGAAATACTATGCGGCAGCTGCGTCTCAGAGTAGCTGCATAAAGCCTATAATCGTTGAGTTATGTCACCGACTCCCTGGCTCAGTGGTAAACAATGTTTCCCTGAGATCGAACTCGCAGTCTTAGGGCTGGGGTTCGATTCGCTGGGGAGGAAGCCAATACTACTCCTCTGGATAATACTGCGCGCGGCTTATGTTTTGCTGAATGGACGGTCTGGACCTTTCCTGCTTTTTTTCCAGCATTTTTTGTCAAGCATTTCGACTCTTCGAGTGGTCGTCTATCGTGATCACACAACACTCATGATCATTTCTAACTGCTGATCAAACCTTCCGATGGAATCCGTTCCTGAGCTGAACCCGTCAAATAGTTCAAGCTGTCAATACTCAAAAGTATGGGCGACTCCACGAAATGAATTTCAAATGCACAACGCATACTTTCACTGCTTTCGACATCGATCGCAATGGTCGTTTGAGTATGGGTGATGGAAAACGCTGCCAGAAGCGCGCAGGGGGGAGAGCCTTCATGTCCAAGCGTTTGGGGAAGGGTGACCCAATCTGAACCTTCGAATTCTATGTACCCTCACCTAGTCTCGCACGTCTTGAGGCCAGTCCGTAGTAACTTCTCTAGGTGCCATTGAGCCTTTCAAACGCCACCAGCGTCGTCAAGCGTCGATTTTATTCCAAGAGGATCATGGGTGTCGAGTCCAAGTGTGAATGCCGATGATGGCGCATCAATGACCAGTAATGAATTCCGAATGCACAACGGATAGAGTTTCCTTACTCTCGCGAGTGATCGTATTCCCTCTCAGCTCAGTTGGTAGAGCGCGTCACTAGTATAGCTGCCGCGCAACTGTGTTATGACGAGGTCAGTCGTTCAAATCGGCTAGCGGGAACTCTGCTGTTGTAGACTTTTTTCACCTCTGCACAACAACCAACTTCTACAATCCACTTGGTTCGCCAGAGGGTTCCGTGGGCCGGGATCTCATCTCGGAGGACTTGACGCTATTCCGCGCAACGCTAGTACTACTTCGAATATGTCCGAGACGACGACGGATGCGCTGGAATATTGCATTTTACATCACGAGTGCAAGAACAACGAACCCTGGATGCACCGAAGCAGAGATGAATCCCAAGGAACCTGACGGACACGATCCACAGAAAGGTGGGAACCCCAACCTTCCACCGATGCGTCAACTATTTACTGTTCGGCTTTTCCTCTCCCTTGGCGCACATCACCAATTCCTGGATAAACGGTCCAGCGCAATGTGAATTCAAATGCAATATCAGACAGTAACGTATGCACCACGAAATAAAACTAGATACCTCAATAACTTAATTTAATCTTCCTCTTCAAGCCGCTTCACCGCGTCAAACGCACTGTTCATCCGGGCAAAATCAATAGCAGCCCAGTTTTTATCGCTCTTGATATGCTTGTCTGCACCAAGTCTGTATGTATTTATCTGCCAGTCAGAAAACAAGAAACAACGGAGTAGAATTGGAATCCGCAGGACCTAAGCAAGAGATCTATAGCTTGAACATCGTTCTTCAGAGCGCTCAGATGAAGCGGCGTGAAACCGCCTTCCGGAGATCGATAATTGACGTCGATTTTACCGGGGCCGGTGAGGAGTTCGTGTTCGACAATGTGGAATTGTCGGCCGGCGAGCATGTCCATTAAGATTTGCTGCTTGGCGATTCGGATGGTGTCGAAGAGCTTCTCGACGTCGTCGGTCATGTCTGTGAGGCCCTGGAGTGGCGATTAGAGCTACGAGGTGTTCAGAGAACTGAAGACGAACCTCATGGCCGGCAGTTGTGGTCGCCAATACACTGTACTGTCCCTCGTTTAAAACTGTAAACGGAGATTAGACGGCGACAAGGTGAAAGTTGCATCCCTACTGTTTGATCGACATGACGGACAGCAAGGGCGCAGATTAAAAGGGGCGCGTATAAGAAATCTCATGTAACAAAAATAATGAAAGTCGTGGTGGCAGCTTGTCTTGAGACAGTGGATGGGTTGGTTTTGGTCTGCCGCGAATGTTGCGCATCCAAGAGGCAGCGGACATAGACCGCAAGAGGCAGTGAGGTGGGCCGGGACTACAACAGCAGGCTGTGCCACGGGAAGCGGGAGCCGTGGAACTGCTGCAGAGTCGCTGATTGGTGTACTCGGGTGTCGCAATGGAAGGGGAACGCATGGTTTCCGAGCATTTGAGGAGGAGGAGGAGTCGCTATCGTCGCCGTCTTCGGAAGGTCTCTGACAATTTGCCCAAATCAGCCTACATATACAGATGGCGCTTTCGAGCACGCACCTTCCTCTTGGGATTGGGAGGAGGTTTTCCACCAGTGGACTTCCGAGCGACCTGACTCTTCTTTCTACTTGAGCCAGGGCTGCTGCTTCGTGACTTGGGAACTGAATACACGAAATTCGGGAAAAAAAGACGAGCTTACTGGAGTGCTTTCGTCAGGCCGCCGAGGAGGCTTGCCACCGGTGGATTTACGCGCTACCTGACTTTGACGTCGATGTTTTTCCGTGGGCGGAGAGCGGGGAGGTGGAGGTGGTGGCACCGTCTGGAAAACCTCGTCCAAAAACTGGAGACCATGTCATTTTGACATTCGTGCATTCGGGCGAGACACGTACTGTCCGCGGGTCGATGACGGGTGCTTTGCTGCGATGTGGAGGCATGGAAGACAGTGAAAAGATATCACATAGGGCTCTTGGCCAGGATCGAGATGGGAGACGAGAGAAGAAGCGCGGTGTTTGTACCGATTTTGTTCTGACGTTACCCGAAGCTCCGTTCCGACCACCATCTACCCTGCACTACTCTCAGTATGATTCCAACGAAACGGGCAGCCCTCTCCGCCCCCAGGCTCCCCGCAGTGGTGGCCACCAGCCTACGCGCGCAGCATACGATACCAACGCGTCAAGTGCCCGTGTCAGGCGGACTCGGGTCCATTGCTCCTGTCGGTCGGAACCCCGGCCTTGCTTCCCCAGTTTTCCATAATCCACGTCGGTTCTATGCTTCAGAGACCAGTGAGTCGACTTTGCAATACGTGGCCGCATATCAACGGTCATAGAATCCGGTCGTTTTCCCCACTTTGACAAGATCCTCGTCGCCAACAGGTATGTCCAATTGACAGTCCGAATGACAAGTCACTGACTTGCCATTCCAGAGGGGAGATTGCATGTCGCGTCATCCGCACCGCCCGGAAGCTTGGTATCAAGACCGTCGCCGTGTACAGTGAGGTAGACAAAGACTCGATGCATGTCAAAATGGTGCGACTACTGCTTATTCAATTCACGGCGGCCAACTCACTGTCCTAAAGGCAGACGAGGCTTACTGTATTGGACCAGCACCGTCTGCGGAAAGCTATGTAGGTGCCTCGACTTGCAGACTCTTCAGCTCATCGAGGCTTGCCAGCTTCGTATGGACAAGATCATTGACGTATGTCGTCGGAGCGGGGCGCAGGTGAGCTATCCTTCTCGGATTCTGGCTTTCTCTTCAACTTCATCTCAGGCCGTTCACCCGGGGTATTCTCAACCAACCCATCGGTCTTCGTTGCAAAACTGACGCGACCCAGATACGGATTCCTGAGTGAAAATGCTGTATTTTCCGAGACGTTGGCAAAGGAGGGAATCACGTTCATCGGTCCGCCTGCCCAAGCCATTGTCAGCATGGGGTCTAAAAGCGAGTCGAAGAATATCATGTCCGGTACGCGTCTGTTCAGTTCCACGGAACTCCACTAAAGTATTCGCAGCTGCGGGCGTTCCCTGCGTTCCGGGCTATCATGGTGACACTCAAACGCCCGAGTTTCTGTTTCAAGAATCGTCGCGGATTGGATTCCCCGTCTTAATCAAGGCTGTCCATGGTGGAGGCGGCAAGGGCATGCGTATTGTCACCGAACCCACGCTCGAGGCGTTCCAAGAAGCACTGTCTTCTGCCCAACGGGAGTCCCTCAAGGCGTTCGGCAACGATACTGTGTTGGTTGAAAAGTACATTGAACGCCCGCGGCACGTCGAGGTACAAGTATTTGCGGATACGTTGGGAAATGTTGTGAGTTTGTGGGAGCGGGATTGTTCGGTCCAGCGTCGGAACCAGAAGATTATCGAGGAGGTGTGTCTGCAGTGCTGCTTTTGTTTTGGTTCGATATATTTTATAGGCTCCTGCGCCGGGGTTATCTCCCGAGCTGCGTGCGGATTTGAGCGCCAAGGCTATTGCTGCTGCGAAAGCTGTGGACTATGTCGGCGCGGGGACGGTTGAATTCATCTTCGACAATGATACGGAGAAGTTTTATTTCATGGAGATGTGGGTGCTCTCAATTTCTCAACAGAAATGAGACGTTGAAGATAATGCAGGAATACACGGTTGCAGGTTGAGCATCCTGTTACAGAGATGGTAACTGGATTAGATCTTGTCGAGTGGCAGCTCGAGGTCGCCGCAGGCAACCCGCTGCCTCTGGCCCAATCAGCCATTCCCCTCGTCGGCCACGCCTTTGAAGCGCGTATCTACGCCGAGAACCCGCGCAACAACTTTTTACCCGACTCGGGACCGCTCCTCCACCTATCCACTCCAACTCCCACCCACACATTCGCGACACCGTTCCCTACAGTTGCAACCTCGGCGGGTTCTGAACTGACACCCTCCCTCTCGCACGAAGGGATCACTATTACGCCGGCTGTGAGACTCGAACAAGGGTTCGGCCAGGGCTCGCAGATCGGTGTGTTTTATGACCCGATGATAGCCAAGCTCGTCGTTCATGGACGGGATCGCACCGAGGCGTTGCGGTTGTTACGCAAAGCACTGGACGAGTACCACGTCGTTGGGGTGTCGACTAATGTCGAGTTTCTGAGAATGTTGGCGGGGAATGAGGCGTTTATCAAGGAGGAGGTCGAGACTGGTTTCATTCCGGTGGGTTGAATTCGTTCTTTTCTCTCCAAATGATTGAACCTGAATTCTTCGGCAGAAACACTTTGACGAATTGTTCCCGCCGCTTGCAGCTCCTGCTCCGGAACTTTTGGTTCAAGCGGCATTGTTTGTGGCACTCCGGGACCAACCAATCGCCTCGCCGACGTTGCAGTCACCCTGGACGTCCCTAAGCTCCCGTAGATTTGCGGGAGATGTCTACGAGCGCACTATCCTCTTGCAAGAAGAAGGCGCTTCGCACGATTCGACGCCTACGTCTATCCACATCAAGTCCATCGACACTGCCCATTTTGCAATCACAGTCAACACTGCCGACGGCGAGACGCACGTCTTTCCCTCCGTCGCTGCACAGCTCATCTCACCGACGACGCTCTCATCTACGATCAACGACGAATACGCGCGGGTGACGATCGTGGGTCAGGCCCCATCCGTGGCCAGTGCGAATACCGCAGAGCGGATTCACGTCTTTAGAGGTGGTGCCAAGACGACGTTGGTCGTTCCCTCGCCTCGGTGGCTCGTTGCGTTGAGCGAGGATATTATGAACGCAGCGGCAGCCAAAGGGGCTTTGAGGGCGCCAATGCCGAGTCTCGTGGTGGAGGTCAAGGTCAAGGTTGGGGACCGCGTGGAGAAGGGGCAGACTGTTGTTGTATTGGAGAGTATGAAGACGGAGACGGTGTTGAGGGCTGAGGGGGCTGGGGTTGTCAAGGCTGTTGGGTGTCGGAATGGGGAGATGGTGGAGGAGGGGAGGGAGTTGGTTGAGATTGAGATTGAGGAAAGTGTGTAACGTGTAATCTTATTTCGATACAAGCGCTGGCTATCACGAGAGGTGAGTAGTATGTATTTGTTTCTTATTGAACTGCGAATTACCCTGCCATTCCAGGTTTTAAGTACATGTTCAAATTTAAATGGCAAGACATCCTTCGAAATACGCCTGCAGCCCGTCAAAATCCTCCAACGTCCCTACCCACCCAACATACTGGTCCGGACGCACCGCAACAACACACCCCTTCTCCTTATCAACCCCGTAATTCTTGTACGCATCGCCAAACCCTTCATGGTAGCTCACATCATCCACAAACACCTTGTTATAATCCCACCCCGTGCGCGTGTTGAACGGGTGGAGGATCGCGGGAAAGTCGCGCAACAGCTCCGTATCGACGCGTTTCGCAGAATGTATGGTGAGAATATCGATGACGCTGTCGATGGGCGCGTCGTCTCGAGTCGCCCGGCGGAGGAAGCTGCGTGGTTGGTCGAGGGCAGCGCAAAAAGCGTCGACACGCGTTTTCTGCGAGGGGTCGAGGATGTTGCCTGCAAAGAGGACGATTCGGAATCGTCCGTCTGCTTTGAGGCGTTCTTGGAAGTGCCATGGGCGCGCGTCGGATTGGTTGAGGACTTTGAAGCTGTTGAAACGCATGCCGAGGGGGAGACCCGTGGCCAGGGTTTGGGCCGAAGATTTCGCTACGAGGTTGCTGGGACCGTAGTCGACGGATAGGCCGGATGCGAACATGTTGCCCTTGAGGAACGCGTCCTTGAAGACCTCCATGCTGACTCCCTCGGCGTCCATGACATCTTTGGCTGGACGTCCCGAGAACAGGCGGCTGAAGCGGTGGTCGAAATCGATGAGCGCCTGCGCAATCTCCCGCCGCTCGCTCTGGTAGGTGCTGAGAATGCTGCGCTTGGCGATACCCTTGGCGACCAAGGCGACCTTCCAGCCGAGGTTGAAACAATCCTGCATTGAGACGTTCATCCCTTGGCCTGCTTTGGGCGAGTGCGTGTGAACAGCGTCGCCAGCGAGGAAAACGCGATTGTGGGCGTCAAAGTTGGTCCCGACACGCTGACCAATTTGATAGGCCGTCCACCAGTCGCAGTACTCGTAGTCGATCTTGTACGGGCTGAGAATCTTTTGTGCCGCGCTGAAGATGTTTTCAGGTGTAATCTTGGACCTGTCGGCGCGCCCACTGGCGTCGGGCGTGACCTCCTTGAGCTGGATGTACAGTCTCGTGAGCCCATTCTCGCGAGGGATGTTCATGAGACTGCCGTTCTCGGCAGAGTGAATCGCACAGCGCATGCGGATATCTGGAAAGTCAGTAATCGGGATGATGTCCATGACGCCCCAGATAAAATCGGTTGCCTCGCCCTGCAGCTCGAACCCGAGCGTGCGCCGCGTCCAACTCCGCGCGCCATCACATCCGATGACGTACTTGGCATGCACGATTTCCTCATCACCTGACCGCGCCTTGCTTTGTGCGATCAAGTCCTCCTCGTCGTCCTCCTGGTTGAGGCTGCTCCGGAACAACCCATCTGACGCTCCCTTGCTTGCCGTCTCCTGCTGCTTCGGCGCTGCCTCCTCGTCGCTCAGCTGCCGAAGCTTGACCGTCACCGGGTACGCGTCATCATCGTCCACTTTGGTCTCGTCAATCTCGAGCGACTCGGGGAGCACCCCGCGCTCGATCCTAATCCCATCATTCGAATACTTCTTGATATTGTCCAGGAAGAACCGCTCGATGCGCCCCTGATGAAGGACGATCTGCTGGAATCGCGACTGCCCGACAATCGTATCGGGTAAGCGGTCAGAACGATGAATGATACCGTCTGGACCCGGATTCCACATGCAGATCTCAATCATGTGGTTTGCTTCTTTCCACGCACGGTCCGCGAACCCTAGGCTGTCGAATATCTCGAGACTCCGGCATTGAAGACCGTCGGCTTGCCCGCAGAAGATTTTGCTGTTGCGTTTGTCGACGATGCGGGCGTGGATGCCGCAGTGGGCCATCCAGGCTGCGGCCATTAGGCTGGATGACCGCCCGTTGATACAGATTCTTCGAAGACGGCGTCGCACTTACCCCGCTGGCCCTGCTCCGATGATGAGTCTAGTCATGGCGTTAGCGGATCGTTCAGCTGGCTCATGGGAAACCTACACATCCACGTTGGATTCAGCTGGAGGAGCCATGGTTGGTAGAAGAGGAGGGCGAGAGAGCGATTCAAGACTGACAGAGATCGGACTGATGTGGAGTGGATATGCTTTGACTGGCTGTTCGACGCGCTGAGTCGTCTACCAGTCAACCCTTGACGTGTCGGAGTGTGAGTCTTTCAGTCTACTTCCAGAGGAGCTCAGTCACTCAATCAGCAGTAGACTCGGACTTGAAAATGGGTACCGTGTCTTCTCCTGGGAATACAGTCCGTGGGTGACATCCGAAATCGAAGCCCAGGCCGGGGCTATTCCTATTTCGTGTTCTGCGCTCACAGAGGCTCGGGTAAGGAGGTTCGGCCTCCGTTGAGTATCAGGATGCATTGAACGCCACGATCTCAGGTGATCCGTCTACCTTCAAATTGAACATTTCGAAGCAAGGTCATTCCAGGGTGTTGCTCATCCTCGGCGGTGATCGTTCTTGAACCTTGATGGAATGTTCACAAATTGGGTTACTTCAAGCCCTAGCTAATGGTGATCTTCTAGATCTGGCATTCAAACGAAAGAAATTCCATTCCAGGTCGTCAAACGCATCCCGTCGCCGAGCGCTCCTTGTTTCTTCATTCCTCCGGGGCCATAAGTTATGGCAGAATACCAATCCCAAGATGGCATAGCAAGCATTCCAAAAGTATAAGATCCTCCGAATCCTCTTCCCTGCCCTCACCATACCTCCCATGGACCACATCAGATATCTAGGCGCTGCGACACTCATTGGGGTCGTTTTCGTGTCACTTGCCAAAATGCGCAGGTCCAAGGTGCTTTATTTACTGAAAGAACCGAGTTCCTGCAGCTGACTTGCGCCGATAGCTTCCAGACAATCATCCGCCGATTATCCACATTCCTGTTTGTTGGACCTTTCTTCTTTTCCGTTCAGCGTTGAGCCTGTACAGGAGTCGGAGATATACAACAACCCACGCGAGGGTGCGTGGTCCCGTTCAACTTGAACTTGGACTAACGGCACTGATCAAGCAGCCTACGAAAATGCCCTCTTGGAACATGGTCCGATTATTGCTGTGCGGCGGAAAGGGATCGTATGTATTTCTCGACAAGAGCGCGTTCAACTCATGACTTTACATAAGCTCGAATTCATTGTCCGAGAACATCTAATTCAAGAAATATTCACGGCGGATCAGACGTTCAGCTTTGAGCATGCACAAGCCAAGGTCCGTTGCGTTCCTTCCTCCACCCGCAATTGTACGTCTGAATCATGCTGTACTTGTGTGTGTAGATCCTCAATCTCCGGCCCTACGTCTCGGCATTCTGGTCCTTCTTCAAAGAAATCGACGATCTCGTGCAGAGTGGGATTAATCCGCGGTTGGGAGAGATCTTTGAAAAAAGTAGTAAGCTGTTCATTGTAGTCTCTAAATTTGTGCGCTCACGAGTGGATGAATGCAGTTTGTCCTGTGTTCGTCCGGACCGCCGAAACCGCCGTTCAAAACAAGAAGATCGATATGTTCGAGCACGCTCATACGAGTATCGCTGAGGCGATGGTGGTTCTTATTCTTGGAGAGGTGTGCGATTTCCCTTTTCTCTAACTTTCGTTTGACGAACGGGCGTGTAGGACTTTGTGAACGAAAGAAATATTCAAGTCGTTGCCGACGTTGCGACGGATATTGCTGCATTGACAGGAAGTGAGCATTCCTTCAAATTCCACGTACTTGGCCTGACGACAATAGTATACTCAAACAGCTCCACCCTCGCGCGTCACTTCCCCAAACTGTGGTCCGTGTTCATCTGGATTAAAGTCACCTCTACGACCGTACTCTCGTTCTTCCGGATTATTGGACCGCAGATCTGGAGGCTCTTGCGCTCGCGGCGATGGAACAAGGGAGAGGAGAATCCCAACACTGTATTGGAATACCTAGCATATCGACATGCTTCAAAGGCCGATGGGAAGTTGGCATTCCCTGCTTTCCTGTGGATCATGTCCCTTCTTCTCGGGATTATATTCGCTTCGGTGCACCAAACGTTCGTATCCTTTGCCCCTTCGTTCACTTGACTAGAATTCGAACCAAAGCGCATCCGTCGTCGTCTGGGTCATATTCGAACTCGCATTACGTCCAGAATACCTTCAAGTCCTACGAGAGGAAATCCCAGCCGACCCTCTGACGCACCAACTCGACGCATCGAATATCGGGGACGCCATCCAAAGAGCTGTTTGGCTGGACTCGTTCATCCGGGAGGTGATGCGCACCAAGGGGGACACGCTGAGCACGTGTCGGTTGACGACGACGGATGCAAAAGTGGCGGGGTATGTCATTCCCAAAGGGTGAGCTTCTTCTTCTGGACTTGTGTGCGGAGACGGAGATTTAACGAGGACTTGGAAAGGCACCTTGTTTTCCCGCTGGCGACGCTCGTACATATGAACCCAATCCACCACCCCGAACCTACCGTCTTCAGACCAGAGAGGTGGCATGGAGAGAATGCGAGGCCGGCTGTTATGAGTAGTGCGTCGTATATTCCGTTTGGGATTGGGAGGTGGGCGTGTCCTGGTGCGTGGCAGTTTCAGTTTTCAACATAATATTCGATTGAACCACTGTTCTGTTCACAGGTAGGGTTTTGGCGGTTTCTGGTGCGTGCTTTTCACTTCGTTCTTCGAAGCGGTTCCCTTAACTTCGAACAACGACAACAGAAATCAAAATGATAGTATGGTCCCTCATCGTGAAGTCAACGCCCCGGCTGGAAGGGAACAAGTACAGAGTCGTCGACCCGCTGAATATCACCGCCGTACCACCGGAAGGGGATTTGGTCTTGGAGCCGTATGGCACGCTGTCGCTGTGAGGGGTGACTCGGAGGCCGCGAGGGAGTTGGACAGTGCATTTGAACCAATGTATTTGAATATCCCGTCTGGCAGTCTGCCTCCCTGGCCTACTGAATGTTGAACCGGGCGCAGGAAAAAAAGTCAAAACAGTATTCCCGCTAGCCGATTTGAACGACTGACCTCGTCATGAGGAAATAGATCTCTGCCCTATACTAGTGACGCGCTCTACCAACTGAGCTAAGAGGGATACAGTGGACAGTGAGAGTAAGCAAGTTCTATGGGTTATGCATTTTAATTTTACTGATCCATGTGCACGTCGGGCCGCCCATCTTTTGCGTGTCAAGTATCAAGCTTTGAATCATTTGACGGGTTCAGCTCAGGAACGGATTCCATCGGAACGTTTGATCAGCAGCTCGAAATGATCGTGAGTATCTGATCACGACAAACGACCACTCGAAGAGTCGAAATGCTTGACAAAAAATGCTGGAAAGATCAGCAAAGGTCCAGGCCCTCCATTCAGCAAAACATAAGCCGCGCGCAACATTATCCAGAGGAGTAACATTGGCTTCCTCCCCAGCGAATCGAACCCCAGCCCTAAGACTGCGAGTTCGATCTCAGGGAAACGATGTTGACCACTGAGCCAGGGAGTCGGCAATATGACTCAAAGACTATAGACTTTAAGCAGCTGCCCTGAGACGTAGTTGCCCTATATCTCGACCCGATTGCTACCCTCGAGTGGTAAAAAAGCTCGCAGATGGCGGTATTGCCATTTTGGGCTTGCGATTGTTGATTGAATGCCAGCCGACTCGGCAATTACGTATCAATCACTCTTGTCTTTCCACCACCATCGCCCACTGCTCGCTAGCCATGTCTACGATTGACGACTCGAAAGACCTTCAAGTAACGGAATGTCGAATACGTCTCCGATCCCCGCATTGGACGTACGCCTTCCTCGGCCCTTCAAGAACGACGAGAAGGGTACTACGGCGCAGTCATGCCTAGTGCGCATTGGACACAGTTTCGAGTACTCCGATGCCTCTCTCGCTATCTTTCTCCAAGGTTCTACTGACTTTGGGAAAGGCTGTTTTGCGTTGGCCCAAACACGTCGCAGGCGATTGTGACGATTTGGAACCCGGCAGATTTACCCTGGCGCACCTCCATCTCCTGTTTCTTGCTGAAGTTCCCCAGAAACGTCTTGATTTGCTGGACGCCGTACTGTGCAAAATCCACTGAGATATCGAGATTCCTCAGGACCGATGGGAGGTCAAGACAAGTGCCTTTCAGCTTTTTGGGGTTGTGTGCTGGATGCGAATGGCACAAACGTCCTTTGTCGCTCGTACCACACCGCGGCTCCCGACTGAGCTTCAATGACATATTTGCCTCCATTCTTTCTTTCTGGTACACGGAATGTTGAAGCATTCTGCACGTCTTATAATATCGATCAATGAATCTCCCATTAATCTTCTCGCTATAGGTACGTGGCTGCTATCAGAAATGTCGATATGCCACCGGCCAAATAAGGCTCCCGAGAGCGCCATTCATTATGAAGTAGCACCATGGCATTGACTCTGCCCTGGCCTGGCCTGAACCTGACACGGCGCTCTTATTTCCCCGCGTTTCGGTCGTGGCCTTATAAAAAGAAGTACGACTCTCTGCTGTCCAAACACTGACCCACCTCGGAAACATGGGCTCAAGCATCAGTTCGGTGGTCAAGGAGCAAGGCAACGGCCTCAAACTTGATGCCCAGGCGCAAGAAGAGCTCAACGCACTCCTCACCAAGGTAGGGCTCAAATACGACGACTTTGTGAAGCAGATGAAGAGCACGGCGGACAACACCCTCATCCCAATCAGCAAGATTCTGTCCAGCGGTCATGTCGTCCACGCCAAGGTGACGCAGACGGGGGAGAATGTGAAGAACGCCGTGAGCAGTAGTAAGGTAACTGCGTTCGCCAAGGGTGATATCCTCGATGGTGCGTGCAGTTCACTTGAACTGAATCCCGTAATTGAACTTGTCTATGCAGGCGTCTTTGCCATCGTCAACGCTGGCGTGGAATCCGTCCTGGGCGACGTGGCAGCCGACCAATCCGAACACCGCACCTACGCTATAACCTGCGGTGAGTTTGGCGGCATCATGCGTATCGACATCGACATAGTCTGCTACACATTTACCTCGACGGCGCTCGCGGCTGTTACCAACAATGTAATCAGCGCGGCCTATGTCGTCAGCTCTGTCGACATGTCTCAACTCGACAAGGATACGATACGGGATATCGTGCAGGTTTGCTACGGGGGCGTTGTGAGTAATGTGGGTCTTTCGTTTCAACTATTATGTACTTGGATTCTTGAAAGCTGACGGGAATCGGAATTCAGGACGAGTTGACGCGGATCTACAAGTTGATTCTCTCGGCGTACGAAGCGGATACTCACGGGGCGGACTTTATTATTCCATCAACGGTCCTGGGTTCAAAACCCAAGGATCCTGTTGTATAGCATGGTATGCTTTCCAAGGTTCATATGTTCAATGTTAAAAAATAGACTGCGTGGGAAACAAGTTCAATAATCCCCTCTGATCACGAAAATCCGCATGTACATCTGCGTCCTTTCCCCTCGCCCTCCTCTCCCCTGGCAAATGTTTCAAAAAATCGCCAATACCAAGCTTGAACCAACGCGCAACCAGCTCACGGACATTCCTCCATGGTTGAATGATTGATTTCCGAGGAAGGACTCAGAAGGATTGACTCGGAACTACACAAAATTCGTTTCACACAACGGCGAGAATTCGTACCACATACTCAGCTTGAAAATTGAAACATCCGCTGCGCAGAAATTCAACACGGGCTGTACAGGTTTCTTCCCACGGTTGAATCACCACCAGGCATGTTTTTTTTCAATGTTAAATTTGTGCGCTTGAATCACCATGCAGTATATACATGGACTGTGATGGATCCATGATAATAGTAATTAAGGCCTTGGGTCCCGCGCGGGCACATTTTGAGGGAGTTGAACAATTGAACCAATGTATTCGAGTATTTGTCACATCATCACGATGATGGCCATCAACCTCTTCTTGTTCTGCACCATCATCTCCTCAAATAAGTATCTCCTCAGCTTCTCCAGGTATACTTAGCACACGGAGATACTGACCTTAAACCTCGGCTGCCGGACCTTGTGGACGCCCATTCGTGACGTAGGACGCTCCGTCTTCTCCGTATTTTCACCGCCGCAAAGGTGGATGCTTGATTTGTATCAGTGGGTTTGCAACGCGTTGGGGGCTTCTGGGACACCTTCTCTCCGCAACGACGCCACCGATAACCGTCCTCGTGCAAGCTCTTCGTCGCCGCCCGAGATCTAGAATTACTTACTAGAGACGTCGACGCAGAACCGAGACCCCCCAAAAACGGTGCGTGCGTGCCAGTACTTACTTAGAACCCGAGTTTAATCCTCCTCAGAACCCTCGTGATCGTGCGGTCTAAAGCTTAAGGAACTCCTACGCATGCGGGGAGGCATAAATACGACTCCAAGAAACGAGCTCGAGCACGCGTATAGCAGCATGCTCCTCGTCTCACTCTTCGCGTCGTCCGCGCTCCTCTTCGCCTCTGCCTCAGTTCTCCGTGCACCTCGCACGAGTGGAGTGCATCTAGCTGTGAGCCCTCAATGCGGGACACTCGCAAGTGGGGTGCCCGCCGACGTCAATGTGGGGTTGAAGCCATTGAAGGAGTACAAGAATATAGTCGCTTTTGGTGGTACGTCCGGCAATACACAACATTCTGCCGAATTTAAGTATATCTCTGGACCGCGCAGATTCGTACACCGGTGGATCGACGAATGGACCTACGTGGGTTCAGAACCTGGCGACTTCTGCTGGTGCCACGCTGATCAACTACGCGGTGAGTTATTCCTACACTAGTGGAATCGGATCGGAATCAGATGGACTCACTAACCCAACCCAAGGCAACTGGCGCTGTCGTCGATGTGGACCAATGGCCCGAGGTACCTGCCGTCCAAGCACACACTTCGGTCGATTTTATCAATCAAGGTGCGCTTCTATCGAGCCCAGTTTGTATTTTGAATCTTGATTGAGATTCAACGAAATATAGCCAACGGGCTCATGTACGGCTCGCAGCAAAAGTTGGATCCATCTACGACGTTGTATGTCATCTTCCTGGGCATCGGGTGAGTCTTCTTCTTCCTTTAAGTGGGCATGGAACTCAACTGTGGATAGGGATTATGCGGAAGCTGTCGGTCAGGAATTGGTTTGCTTGCAAAACAACAGTCAGACTCACCCACTTTATAGCAACCAACAGCACAACTTCAAGTCTGAACCAAATCGCCGGCGTCCTCCTCTATGTATCTCGAACAATCAACTGTAATCACCCAACACTAATCTGTCTCCCTAGACGCTACTGGGACTAGTCTCCTCCCCAGTCAGTTTCGCCAACGACATCCTCCTCATCGACAACTACGGACTGGGCCTCACCTCTCCCCTCGGCGACACATTCAAAACCTACCTCTTCGAAGCACTCGGCACAGGGCGGCGCTCCTACGGATGGAACGTCGGTTTTGCTTCCCTCAATTCTATATGGGAGGGCGTGCTGTATGATGGGGCGACGGGGTATGAGGCGTTTGGGTATACGAGTCCTGGGGTTTGTGATGAGAGTTGTGCGGAGCCGGGGAGTACGTTTTATTGGACGGCTGGGTGTGTGCTTTTTCTTCTTCTTATTTTGGTGAGGAGAGAGATGATCTTTGATTCAGGAACCCGTCGGCGGCTACGCATGCTATTATGGCCGAGTATGTCGAGGAGGTGCTCACGCAGTGCCAGTCGTCGACATGATCCAATGTTTCTTTTTTGTACTAGGCAATGTATTCTTAGTCCAAATTCCGAATGTATGTTGATTATTGAGGCGTCGAGAGGTCCCTCTCCTGTTGAACCTTGAACGTTTGAACCTTGAACGCATAAATGTGGCGTTGTTTAGTATACATGGTACAAGCGCAACCGAACCGATGGCAGTTGTTGGCAAACCTCCGAAACTGATCCATCAAGTCAACGCATATGCACTGGCAGGATCCGCGTCGCTTCCTTCCGTTAGATCTTTCATCGTCTCAAGTCGCGATTCTGGGGTCGAATGCAATACCCTCCTTGGTCAGAGGCCGCTAGAAATTTTGAAAGTTCGACCTCCAATGACCTCGTAGCTCGGAACGCGCCCCAACGCGCCCCGGAGCTGCGATTGCTGTCAACACCGCCCAAAT